GTAAATGGTTTTAACACGTGCGCCGCTGACACTCGAGATGTTTAATAACATCTTTTTACTGACCCTATTTACACTGTAAACGCTATTAAAGTCAATTGCATGTCATCCTCTTTCCTCTCTGTGTTTTTAATACCTCAGACACTTGCATGGTCGAGGCGTCCATCTCTGAGCATAATCTGTTTTGACTAAAAGGGAAAGTAAAATGCTTTAAAACATGTTGCTGGTCTTGGCAGGTTGTCGTGGGTTATAGCGAGCCGCAGGGTTCCTGCTATCACGCCATCTTAACTTGACACTTTTCCTTGAACAGTTGCCACTCCCTCCCAGCACTCTGCCTGTGCCAGCTGTTATTCTTAAAGGTCCGTGAACCTCACATCAAAACACAGGTTTATATGTCATTAAACCCCACTGTCCTTCCCTTATAGGCCTCAGGGATAATCAATCACTTGTTAAAGGGTGCCAATATGTTAGCATAAGGAGGGGGTACAGATCAGGACATGAATAACATCAGGGTGGATTGGATTACCGGGAGTCAGAATGTGGTCAATGGAATTGTTTAAGTTTGGGTTTGCAGAATTTTCTATAGAATAAAACCCGAAGCAAGCTGGATAAACACAGCTTTAATGAAGGTGGGGCAGTTTGAGCTGTTTTTGCATTGATGTTATTGCTGCCACCCTTGGTCTATAAAGTTCCTGAACTTGCCTGGCATGCGCTGGTTTTATATTGTAAAGGTAAGAGTCCTGAGGCTGAGGTACAGACCTGCAAAGGTTAAGCTAAAGCTGAGTGGAGCTGCTAGAAGGTTTTGGGAAACCTGCATTACAATGTATTTATATGCTAAACATTCATATCTGATGAAAAAGATTACGGCGCTCTTCCCCTTTTCCCCCTTCACTCTGTTTGGGTTCACTTCTCCAAAAAGTACCTCATTCTCTGTACCTAGGGCAGGAAAGGGATGAGCAATGATAAGCAGGGAAAAGGCATATTAATGAGGAGGAAAGGGGTAAAAAGGATTAAGCAACATCGTTCAGTAGCATCCAACTTAGCTCATATAAAACCCATCCTGGGCATGCTGCAATATTGTGGCTCAATAAATGATTCATTAAACAGCAGGAAGTTCTGGACAAATGATTAAAGTTGCATAATTTTCACTATAATTTTGATGTTATGCTTACACAGGATTGCAAGCTTGTTGCAGGCTGTTGTTTCAGTTTTTCCTTCAGTGTTTTAACGCTCTTTGGAGGCTGAGACAGCTAGCGAGAGAGAGAATGAGAGTTGAGAGAAAGTGCGGTCTTGTGGTCTCCTTCGGTTTCTAATATTGCAGAGGTAGTTCTTCAGGAGCCAAGCTGCACCATGTGATGGTAACTGGATCGCCACACAGCTGCAGCCATGGGCACCCTCGGTCGTCCCCAAGGCCGCTGGAATAGCGACAGGGCCGCTATGCACACACACACACATATGCGAACACACAAATACTGTACACACACACATCACTGGATGGAAAATCCCAAATACTACAGGATGGGGGTAAGTGGGGAGAGAACTCTACACTGCCTGTTTCAAAGATGTTTTTAAAGCTGTGAAATTTCTAGTCCAACCACAGCAGACTCGGTTACACACAGAGCTGTCTTTTAAGCTGAGAGCCTGTATGTTTGTTCTTCTGTTAAATGAAGGGTGGCGGTGGTCAGACGGGAACCCAACTATGTTCAATTAGGAATGTCTGTGTCACAGTGCAGACCAGACTCTTGTTTGCTATTAAAGCCTTGTTGTTTCTGTCTTCCGATGACAGAATTTATGGAGAATTTGCTACCTTAAAGTAGTATGAAAAGTTAAAAACAGACCACTTTCACCTGTGACTGAATTGTCTGATCCTTGCAAATAAATCTGCTGAAGCAGAACAAACGTAGCCTTGAGTATCACAATCACACAAAGCAATGATATTTGGTTTTTTTGGTAACACTTTATTGTATGGTCCACAAGCAAGGGTGCAATTCCCCATATATTAAATGGAATTCTAGTTTATTTGAAATCTAAATGCATTTACCTACAAATACCTAAATACTGGTACACTAGAATAGGTTTTTACAGGATACAAAGGAAGCAGTGTGCAATTTCATGCGAGTTTTGCAAAAATTAAACATTTCCCAATCTTACATCTAAAATACGAGGTATTCTTCAGGTCGGTGGATGTAATATGGAGTGGATTCATCTTAACACATTCACTCGCACATCACTCGCACATCTATATAACATTCATTATATAGATGTGCATGATGGATTTTCTATTACTCCCTTGTCCTTTCATTTTACCAACATAAATGTGCTGTCACTTAACAACTTAAAAGAAAAATAAATATGAAAATTTGCTATGTGATCTTACAGTGATAGAGCCAACTTATATTTATTCTTTCACAGTCACTGTTCAAGCATATTTTTTAAAAGGGGTGTACAGGAGTGTTTCCTTTCCTGTAAGTTAGGCAAGGTTAGCCCACTCCATAATAAAAGTGCAGCATACTTACAATGTAAGATGGGGAAATATTGTTTGTTTTTCCTCAAAATTACCAAGAAATTATGCAGTATTTAAAATTATGTAGAGTATAATTGTGTCTCCTTTCCTCTAAATCACCCATTACTACTACAGAGTATTAATGAATTTCTTATGTTTTTACGTAACTATTTCTTCAGTCCTGTAAAATACATGAAGTTATGCTATAATTAGAAATGCTCATGCACTACCTAAGCTTACTTATGAATTGCCAAAAATTACCTACATATACTAACAGTATAAGCATTTTTTTGTTTCTTGTAAAAACCTGGCTTGTTACCCCCTTTTTTCTTGGGGGGAAGTAAAGTTGTCCTTCATTTAAAAGTAAGGACTGCGGTGCACAGAATCGGTGTGTGCAGACAGAGTTAGGCAGGCTGTCTGGTGATCTATTGATCTTGTCTTGTTTTTCTGTTTTTACCATCTATCCCTCATAAGGTATTTCATGTCATGTCTTGAACTGACACTTGCAGAGATCATATATCTTCTTACTTTGAGCCAGACTTAAAAAAATTTAAACTCTGTAGATCAAACAACAAAACACAAAGATCTCAGTTATCTTGGTTAAATTTAGAAAATCCTCTATGACTGATTCCTGGCATGGTTCTCTAACATCTAAAGAAATTACTCAAGCGGCCACTGTGATTGAAATGCAACACTAAGCTTTTTAGTCAAAGAGGTGAAGGCACACCTTTCTATCATTTGGGTTCAGTTGTGCTTTAGAAACAGTCAAACAGCAGACTGTTGTATTTTTAGTGGTCACTGTAAAGCATCAAAATCACTGTGAGCTGATTCATGCAGTATAGCACGGAAGATGCTTTCATTACTGTTCGGCATCTACAAATCATTGCAAGACTGTTGCACCTCTGTCTGTCACACATGCAGCACACACACACACACTTACACAGATACACACAAGTAAGCGACGAAACCCTACACCAGTATCTCTGAGTCAGGCTTGGCTACCAAACACCAGAGAGCATGCAGGGCTGTTGCAGGGCAGGGTAGGAGAGGAACAAATCCAAAGTGCAAGTTGGCAGACAGATCAAACGCGCTGCCCTGAACCATGATACTCAATGTTGCATTCTACTTGTTAAAAATAAATGGAGGGAATGCAGATTGGAATGTAATGATAACATTAATCAGAACACTAAATATAGTGTCTTGGAGATATACAAACACATAAAACATACAGGAAATTTGTTTTTGTACTGAGAAAAAGGGCACTTTCTTCTCTGCCCAGAGCTGTGTATTGTGTGCCCGACATGAAGGATTATAATATGTATAATACTACTTTTTAATACATTTTTTGTTTTTAATGAACAAGGTTTATGTTTGTAGAAAACTCAGAAGTAATAAAAAAAATAAAACTTGAGTGATAAAGAATTAAATATACCCAAAACACCAATCTTAGCTCTAAGCTCCTATTATTTGTTGTAGTAGTAGTAGTATTCAGGCTCTTGGCAAGATGTGGAATTCTGTCACCTTATTTGCTTTTGGATGGGTAAACATTCAGCTAGCAGTCAAACCGTTTTGTTTCAGTGAAATATGTTTGAAATTTAGTATTTATTATCCAAATATACTCAATTTTATACCCGAGTTTTCACACCTCGTCAAATGAATTTATTTTTTACAGGCCAAAAAGATCACTACTAAAGACCCTGTGAGTAGGAATTCTGTTTATTTCTTTTCAGACCGGAGGATGTTCACCAACCTGAAGAGTACTTTTCCCTGCCCTCACATCTTATTACAACACCATTAAATTCAGATTCTGTCTCTTTTAGAAGTGCCAGGGGTAATGACCTTGCTGGGCCAAGACATATGCTCTTAGCCCACTCTCGTTCTGTAATGAGGGGAGCTGGCAGGACGATCAAAGGCTTTCCACGGAGCCCTGATACTAAATGTTGCTGATGAGCTGTCCAAGGGGGGAGCTAACCGGTCATACCAAACAAGCAGAGAGTTCAGGCTGTGTCAGTCAGATCTGAAAGTGAGGCTGGAGTGTAGTTATTAAAAAAATAATAATAATAACAATCCCTTGATGAGAATTTACCTTCCTTGCATGTCTACCTGTGTACACACCTAGCATAAACACAGAACGGTGGGAAAGTAAATGAAGGCAATAGGGGGAAAAGATCGTGTTGATAGTACTGTACAGTAAACTTGTAGTGTGATGGCTTTGTGCTAGTAAAGGAACAGGCCTATGCTGGTGTAGGTACAGACTGCAATTTCTTGGTTATACATTGAATTTTTATCGATCGGAGGTGAACTTGATTGTTTTTTAATGCATGTAAAACTAGAGGTTGCTCTTTGTCACGTCTACATCAGCTCTTGCTGGCTGATGCATTATAGTGTCTGCAACGTTTATTGTTCCTACTGCTGATAATGATGCAGTCTGTAAGATGAAAATATACATATCAGACTTACAGGAAATGCCACAGCAAATCTTTTCTACCCTGAACTGAGTGAAATTGATCTGGCTGAAATGGAAATGAGACACAACGCAAGACTGAACCGCAAGAGTGCAAGAGGTGGCCGACCAAAGGAGGAGGGCAGGAATTAAGGAGAGGGGTTGAGAAGACTCAAAAACGTGTTTTAACCTGTTGGAATGACTTTGTCAGCAAACTGGCCTAATACCAAATACCACCTCCCACCTCCCCAACACACACATTCTTTCTTCATTTTTCCTGGATGTGCCCAATCGTAATTCAAATTCAGATTTATCATACCACAGAGCAGTTTCTTTGCCTCTGACATCTCAATCTTTCTCATCAGACTTTTAATTTTCTGTTTTATTTTTATTTATCGATGCATCTTAATATGTGTTTTTGTATTTTATTGCCTTCTTTTAACTGATCTACTTTGTTAAACTTCCCTATAATTAAAGTTGGATTGGATTGCATTAAACTAATTTGGGTCCAGAGAATGCAGCAGCACTTGAATCTTATTTATAAATAATATTGAGGGAGGCTTAAGTTTTAACATGTATTTGTCCAGCAATATGATGTGTTCACCAGCATCAGTTTTCAGCCCATGAAGTGACCTCCATTGCAGAAGTGTATTTTAAATGCAGTGAAACCCATTCAGTCTTCTGCTTCTGGATGGATTTTTTGGAGGTGCAATATCATATGAAAAGAGCACAGAGTATAATTAAAGCTAATCTGTTTTTCCACAGTCCTAACAAGATCTTTGGAGAGTGATTGACATTTCAGAGCACTCACTGCCTATTAAGCTGACACAAAGCTTGGCTACAGGGACACTACAAAAACGAAAGGAAGCAGATAAATTAGCTTTTTTCCTCCAGGTGAGGAGAAGCTGATTTAGATCATTTGTGTTATTCTTCACAGAAGTCATTATCAGCTCTCAGTGACTGATGTGTATCTTTTGTGAAATTGACCATTTGTGTTCCCTGGAAAAGAACAGGTTTTAATTTTTGTTTAAAAAAAAATGACACAGATAGCGCGCAATAAAACAGGACGCCCCACCTTCTGCGACTGCATGCTCAAAATCTCATCTTCTTTTTTCCCCCTTTTTGTGCCAATCTCCCTTCCCTGTCTGTCTGTGAAAAGACACGGGGGAGAGAGGCACTCCGATATGCTGGTAGACTCTCGCAAACAAAGGCTCTGCGCTATCACCGCTGTGTTGACGCCACAAGGTCCCGAGTTGTCAAAAGTATCTGACCTCCATCTCTGCGAGATTACAGAGCAGAACAAAAAAAAACTGGAGAAGAAAAAGAAGTAAAAACCGGATATAGATCAAATGCGTGTTCAAACAAACTCGGCTGGCGTCAGGCTCAGCATACAATAAAGAACAATGTCGCCTAGGCAACACTGGCAGCCTCCCAGTCAACCTTTTGGTGAGCATTTCCCATATCCCCTCAGTCTGCTGGTGTGATGAAATGATACTGTGTGAAATATTGAACCGCGTGCTGTGTGATCAATATTTATACAGTCATAATGTCAGAATGGCAACATGTATTCCATCTGAAGAACTACAAAGCTTATCAAATGCTGATAAATATTTAAAGCACATTGCATTTATTCTTTGGTGAAAAAAAAGGAGTAGATAAATATTAAGCTGTTTATGAAAGTCTTTGTGCTTTAACTGTCTCCTTGACAAACAACCAGCTTCACCTGGTGCTCTATTTCTGAGCAGCAGCACCTTGTTTAGACCCTAAACAGCCCTGTGAGAGCACCAGAGAAATCAGCCAGGGACATCTGCACTGCAAGTTTAAAATCAGAGCATCGAGTAAGGAATGGGCACAAGTTCAACAAGCACTTGACTTTTTCATTGGCTTTGTTTTATGTCTGTATTGTGTATTTCTTCTGAGGATAAAGACAATAAGGCGTGACTGATGAAAGACAGTCCAGACAGAGTGGTTCAGTAGATTTTTATGGCACTACTGACATGGGATGATAAAAAAAGAAAACACTTTTTCAAAGTATGCATGGTGCAAGATGTAATTAGCCCAGAATGGAAATACAAATATGGTATTGTAGCACATATACATATCTTTTAGCTTTACTTTTTTCAATAGATAAAATATAGTAAAATAACTTTTCATGGAAATAAAAAACACAAACACTGTGATTTTACTCTATAGAAATACTTTTTAAAAAATCTCTCACTTTTGGCACTTTACAGAATAGCGTTTCCAAACCTGTACCATAAAATCAATTTTTGTAATTATATTCAGACAGTTCAGGTTGGGTTGTGCATAATAAAGTATGCACTATACTCTGCTTGCAGTTGTCTGTCAGGCCCTCAGCAAAGCCTCTACAGAAAAAGGTAATGGCCTCACAGCCGGAGTCCTGATTGAGCCGCCGTGAGGGCTCTTAACAGAGTCGGCATGAGGAGCTGCCTGGGCGGCAGGAGTGTCTGAGCTCCAGCTCTTAGCTGTCAAAGGTCTGGGATCAAAAGTCCTGCTGGGTGCGCTGATGTCTGGCTGACCCAGGACACTCTGATCTGATGCAGAAATAGCAAGTGTGACTGTTGAAGAGCCATTTAAGTCCATTATTTCTGCTCGTTTTGAAGGGGATTTGACAGGAATAGCACATGACATGGCCTTGCCATCATTTCGGAGTCTTTGTATGGATGTCGAAGGAATGACCTCTGCTTGTTTTGTCTTCTCGCTGTCTTTCCATCCATTCTGCACCTCCTTCTCCTGCCTGCTTGGCTGGGAGCTCTGACATAACAAAAAGTCATTATAGTCATTTCCTGTGGAGTACCTGCTCTTCAGGGGAAAGAACTGATAAAGCTGGAAGTCACACTCATAAAAGGGCTTGTATCTGCACAGGGGCACATAGCTAGATTGCCCTTCAGTTGTGGGATCCTTGCTGGGTGGGCAGCAGTGGAGACCAGGGGAGATGGGCAAGGGTGGAGGCTGAAGCATAGGAAGGAGGGCAGAGGGGGGGAAAAGGTCATTCTGCAGCTCCCTCTGTCTCAGTTCATGCTCCAGCATCACATTTTCCAGCTCTTTGTCTGCAAACGCTCGTCTCTTCCTCATCCGGGCGCTGATGGAGGGGCACGTAAAGTGTGTTTGGTCACGTTGCATCTGCTTCGACCAGCAAGGGGTGTCGTCCTCTGGAGGCACCGCAGGTTTGATCCCTGAACGTGGGAGCAAAGCCACATATTGCCATTACACATTTGTTTATGCAGTCAATTTATGGATAATGATATTGTTCCGACCAATTAATTGCTGTGTTTATGTCTGAGCACTTTGTTGTTTATTATTTTAATAATGCAGTTGGTTAGCCGCGTCACTGTTGCTTTACTGAGAGCGCAGGGAAGACAGAGAGGGCTATAAAGAAGACAAAGCCTCCAGCAAGTCTTGACTGCAAGCCAGCAGGTAATAATGCACACAGTGTATTACAATAATGGCCTGTTGTTATGAAATAGTGACGTCTCGATGATGGGGGGTTTGTTTGGATAAATGAAGTGTGTCTAGCCAAACTAAGAAGGAATACCCGTGGCACACTGACTACAAAAGGACCTGCAAATGCTAATGCAATTACACGTTTCTACACAGGGGCTGCAAATGTCACTGAGAAGGTCACTGTCACCATTTGGGGACAAATATACATTTATTTGGGGGAAAAAGCTGTTTCCCACAATGCCAGTTAGAGTTAAAATTGAGTTTCTACTGGTTAAAGCTGGAGGAAACCTACAGGGAAACTACGTCTGCACAATTTTATTTCTCTTCCAGCTTTGACAGGACGTTCAAAAGCTTTACCATGTCAGCACAGAGCAGGTGAATGATGATATGCTCCATGGAAAGCTTAATTTATGATGTTGCATGAACCTAAATATCATTAAATCAAAAGCAGAAGTTGTCTACACGTAAAGATTCATTCATGTACAGAACATGAAAAGCTGGGAATAAAGCAAGACTCGATAAAGGAGACGTTAATTAAACTTCACCCTGCAGGATGCTCTTGGCCACGATGCTCGACTCGGCCGCTCTGGTGTAACACTGATATGCCGTTCTGCGCAGTGGAGCTGCACACCTGACCCCCTTCTTGCCCTGAGAGAAACATATGAACGGGAATAAGACATTTGGACATAATTATCTTACAGTCAGACGTTCACAAGGTAATTAAAGGAAAATAGTACATGATGTAAGAGGCAAGGAGAATCTCTGGGATTAAAACTAAAGACAGAGAGAATTTGCCCTTTTAACTCCAGCATTACTGCTATTACTAGGATTGCTAACTATGTGGAATTGGTATGCTATTTTGCGCAAAGAAGCACTCAAGTACCCAGTTGTATCTATAGCTGCTATTTATAAAATCCATTATTATACCATATGTATATAATTAGTTTAAACTGTTTTTTTTTAAGGAGGATTTAGAATTTTGTCTGCAGTAATAAAATCAACATAATTTTCCCTATAAATGCCAAATTAGCAAAGTAAGGCACTCATTATTCTAAGGGATTTTATTATTATTATCATTATATTACCTCATTTGCTTCTTTTCATTTCTGCACTTTTCTTTTTATTTGTGATATAACCCACTGAGCTGGTTTCTTATATTTCTTTTCTGTCATCCTAATGAGCACTTGACGCCCTCTCTTTAAAGCTCAAACCACTCATTCAAATTAGAAACAAAACAGGGCTTAAATGTTTAAAATTTGAGCATATAAATGCTGTTACATGAAAACAATGTAAGTATTTAAAATATAAAAGATATAGTTCTGCACGTTCATCGAGATTTTAAAAAGTTGTCCCTTGCTCGATATATAATTATTGTATCGAATGAAAAAGTAAGCAGTAGTGCTATCTCTACAACACAGACTGTGAACTGTTTTTTTCTAAACGACCTAATAAAATGTATTATATGCCCCTTGTGTTTCTATAGAAACAGATACAGGGACGCTTATCCAAAGGTGATATTAAAACGTGTTGTCACCCTCACTGCCTCCGACTCATCCTCAGCTTTTCTAGTCCAGACGATCAGAACCAATTTTTGGGGAGCTTTCCTACTGATTTTGCCCTTTCATCAACCATACACTGTGCGTACTTGCTCCATAATAATCATCTACAGGAATCCATGGATACGTTTTTGTTTGTTTGTTTTATTTGTTTTTGGTTGCCCCCCTATCTTTCTTCTTTCACTGACCTGCCCCTGTGCTCGTCTCACCTCCGCAGCCTGCTGCCGTCTGAGAGCGACCTGCGCCGCCATGACGCGCTGGCGCTCCACCACCAGCAGGCAGCAGGCACAGCGGCAGTCCCTCCAGCGGCAAAAGCGTTTGTGGCCTTTCAGACAAGAAACGACGCCATGGTTTCGACAGCGGGCGCATTTTGGACTGCGAGTCATCTTGCGCGGCTTCATCTGGGGCTGCTGCTGCTGTCCCTCCGGGAACAGAACCACTTTATTTTCTCCTCCGTCCCGGGGACATCCGTCAGGCCTTGTCACATCAAAAACTTCTTCAGATTTTAGTTCCTCAAGTTTTACTGTGGTCTCCGGCTGCAGGCCTCCTCCCAGCTGAGCGGACATCTATGACTAATACTGAGGGAGTTCCGCTGCGAATCTGCTTTCCTGGTGCTTGACTGAGTTAACCTTTACGCAAATGGTTAAACAGGATTCTCGAGGCACAATACAATGCAGCTCAGTTTCAACAGGAGGGTGTTTAAATAGAAATCTTCCAATATATATGTAACAATTCAATCAGGAGAATTACACGTAAACAGAAACAGAACAGCTCCTTTCTAAACGAGCAAACAAAAAAGAGAGAGAGAAAAAAAACGAGGCCCCTGGTTTGGAGTGGCTGTGCGCAAAGCTTTACAGAAAACTCATTCCTACAGCACCAAAGCATGTGCCGAGGTGTCCTGCACCAACCCTACTGCTACTGCCGCATGACACTGTTTTCGGGGTGGAAACTTTACAGCCTACCGCCAGACGTTTGAAATGTTAAGCCTTTGCTCAGCTGCTCTCTGACGCCGTTTCCAAGAAGAAGCAGATAGGAGACCGGGCCACAATGCCGAGCTCCTGGCGCGGGACTCATCCGCAAAGATTTCGGGGAAGCCCAATCTACAGCAAAAGCGTTTCCCTCTCCCTATAAACGCCTATACCTGCCCTGCCCTGCCCACCTTCCAAGCTGTTCTCATCTTTCAGGAGAGATTTTGGCAACTTGCCTGATCATCTTGAGCATCTTGCCGCTCGGCGCAAGATCTCAGTTTATGTCCGGAAAATATGTTTTTTAGCATAAATGTCGGACGCCTTTCATTAGTAAATTCTAACATATAGATGGGTTAGGTGGTGGATTTAATATAAAATATACAATAAGGTCACGTGCAGTTAGTGGCGCATGTGGAAGCTGTTATGTTTCACCAGACTTCTACAATATGGGCTAATTGCGCACGCGCCTCCGGGAGAGTAGGCTGAGAGAGTGAAACAAGAAGAATGACATTTTCATATTACCAAGGAGTCATCTTCATATTCACATTTATTCATAAAAATAATTCAATGATTTAATGGTTCTCTTGGTGTTAGGCTCATTTACCATTTCTGACTCTAAATCAGAATAATCTAAAATTAAAAAAAATTTAATGCAAAAATATTCCCTCTCAGTAAGGGTTGAGTAAATGTGTAGATAAGTGTTTTAACATTGCTTTAACGAGGGGAAATTAATCTCATTGTCATATTTTTGAGAATTAATATGGTTTCGTATATTTTATTATGATGTCAACATCAGTAAATGCTGTTGCATTTGCCAATGAGTTGTCACGAATAGGGCATGATTTAAATGAAAGCTGGAGCGCCTCCTTCCTCTGATTTAGCGCTCAGTTTGAAAAGAGCTCCTTGTCTGCATGGGTACCACACACTCTGCTAAAATGTTATGAAAAGCCTGCTCCCTACTGGAGGCGCTCTGCAATTACACCCGGGGCAATTTTGGAATTTCTTGGTCATTTGACATCTTTGTTGTCTCTGCATCATCTGACAATGACAATTTTTAAATTCTCTTAAAAATCTCTCTCTCTCTCAGATAGATAGATAGATAGATAGATAGATAGATAGATAGATAGATAGATAGATAGATAGATAGATAGATAGATAGATAGATAGATAGAT